AAAAAAAGTGCTCAATGTACATGCCAATGGCTGCCAATGGGGAATGAGAGATAGGAGCATTCGGCTTTTAGTTAAAGCGCACGCTGCGATTCCCATTAGCAGCCATTGGCATGTACATTGAGCACTATCTGACTAGAAAGGGTTGCTGCGTTATACTCGCTGGGCGTAACCTCCTTGGTATTAGAAAGGTTTAGCGAGCGTTGGGCCGCAGTGCCATGAATACAGTGAACTAGTATATACCATGAAATCGAGGTGGTTAAAGGTGGGAAGTAGACCCGAAGCGCAAGTCGTAGGAAAGTGTGAGTGCGCCACCTCTCTTGTAGTCCTTGGAATGTCCGCTGGTTGACGGTGCTTCTATATGGGGAATGTACGATGAAAAGATGAGAGATGGTGGTACTTGGAGTGTTGAATAGATGGACGAACGGACACACAGACAGATCCATGGATGGACGCATGAACGGACGCAGGGGCGGATGCATGGACGAACGCAGGAACGGACGCACGCACGGAAGGCCGGATGGACGCATGGACGGTCGCACAGACGGAAGGAAGCAAGAACGAATGGACGGACGAATGCTTCGCCCCACTCTCCATCATTAACTCCATAGATATGCTGCCATTTTTTTTTATTGAGCAACACGTCATGAAATGATGCTAAGTATATGTACAAATGCTGCACGCACCGGTATATGTTGAAGAGTTGTAAATGTTTTTATAACCAGTTGTTTGCACTTACGCAACAATGTCAACTGTAACATGCGTATTAGCAACCCTAGAAGCTGATATGAAGCGCTGATGCTTGCGAAGATGCTGGCCTTGGACACTGCTACATATATTGACTTCAGCGCATCGCAACTAACCACAATCGACGTTAAACCAACGTCATGGCTGTATTAAAGGAGTACGTAAGTAATGTTCATAAAATTGGGAGGCAGCACTGCAACGACAATTGACGTTTCGCGAAGATTAGCGTGTATTTAAAATTTAGTTCCGAGACCTGGCGTAGCTTTGTGGTAAAATGCTTCATTGCACCGCTGAATGCTTGGGTTTGATTCCAGCTAGGATCCTGATATTTATTCTTACCATTTCCGGGTCGACGCTACCGATGTCGGGTATTTCTTGGCGCTCGCGCGTTAAATTGCTAGATAGATAGATAGATAGATAGATAGATAGATAGATAGATAGATAGATAGATAGATAGATAGATAGATAGATAGATAGATAGATAGATAGATAGATAGATAGATAGATAGATAGATAGATAGATAGATAGATAGATAGATAGATAGATAGATAGATAGATAGATAGATAGATAGATAGATAGATAGATAGAGATAGATAGATAGATAGATAGATAGATAGATAGATAGATAGATAGATAGATAGATAGATAGATAGATAGATAGATAGATAGATAGATAGATAGATAGATAGATAGATAGATAGATAGATAGATAGATAGATAGATAGATAGATAGATAGAGATAGATAGATAGATAGATAGATAGATAGATAGATAGATAGATAGATAGATAGATAGATAGATAGATAGATAGATAGATAGATAGATAGATAGATAGATAGATAGATAGATAGATAGATAGATAGATAGATAGATAGATAGATACGCTCAAAGTCGGCGGAGTTCGCTAAGAAATGCTTCGCATTAAAAAAAACAAATTGCATTCAAGAAGGGTAATGATATGTGAGAACAGTATACGTTCAAGAATTTTGCATGGTATGCTAGTAAAGGACATAGGCCGGTAGTTGAGAGGGGAATGTTTGCTACCCGATCTATAGAGCGAAATTACTTTCCATGTTTTCCAGTTTGGTCGAAGAGAACCAGTGTAAAGAGTCTGTTTGAATGTCATCATCAGTAGGACAAAGGAATATGTCATTGTGCTCTTTAAAAACGTCGCTTCAATTTGATCAGATTCAGGCGCACAAAATTATTTTAATGACTTAATAAGTATCACGACACCGTCGAAGTTTTATTTCTACCGGAAATATGGTTGTGTAGCTGTAAGTATGCGATGATGGCTCTAGTGGGCTTATGCTGGAAGAGAAAGTATTTGAAAAAACCTCTGTTAAAAAATTCACAGCATCCTTTGTCAGAGAATGTGTTGCCTGAACAATCAGCGTGATGCAATGATGATTTTTTTTGTTCGCTTGTGAGCATCAATGGCAGGGTGTTGCTTAAAGAATTATCTTTTGCTTCATTTATACAGTAATCTAGTACGCTTATTCAGTCGATGTTGTATAACGAGGTTGTGGAAGGGAAATTTAAGGCATTGATTTTCTTTGCTATATATAGCGAAGAAACATTCCATGAAGTTTATTTGCCTTTCTTGTCCGCGATGTGGTGCCTACAGGCAAAACATCGCAAACGTCAAAGCCAAGCAAACTTCAGGGGGTGTTATTCCGTAGTAAGTATGATGTAAATGTGAATAAAGTGAACGAAAAGACAACTTGCCGTTGGCAGGGACCAAACATGCGAACTTCGAATAACGCGTCCGATGCCCTACCAACTGAGCTACCTCGGCGGCTATCTCTCCATCGACCTTATGGGTCATAGATGAGCATTAAAACATGAGAGGGTTAGTCAAAGCCACTACTAGCCATAACGGCGAGTGTGAACCATACTTTTAACACGAAACTATTTTATGTCGGGGTTCACCACGCCTCCGCTGACGTACTTACGTCACCGATATGGCGTTGTAAAATTTATACCTAAAAACCGCAACAACAAAAAAAAAACAACAACGAGAAGTTCGTTCCCTGGGCGACCTGTCAATTGCGCGATGCTATTAAGCTATGGAGCTTACGTTGTCAAGATTGCTAAGAGCAAGCTATTTTGATACACCATATACCGTTTGGCAGTCCTCAGGGATCGGCAACTTAATGTTTTTGTCGTCAGTACCAAGATGGCGCGAAGGTCCCAGTTTGGGTGCGCTCCAAAGGTCGTCACCTCTAGCGCTTTCATGAGCGCCGCCTCCACGAAGGGTATTCTCTCCTGCGCGTGCGCTACTCAGACTCATGATTTGAGAAAGCACGAAAATCACTTCGCTCGCTTCCGTGGCCGCGTTTGCGAAAGTATCACGCTGCTCCCACACGAAATAAGAATTGACAGTTGTTCGCGCTTTTGTCGTGGATACTTGCGCGTTAGTTTAATGTTCCTCTCTTTCTGTTTGAACAGCGCGCTTTAAGGGTTGCGCTGTGACAGTTGTTAGTAAGCGCACGTACTGTATATGCTCATTTCGTGTGTGCTTTTTGCTTGAGGTGCACGCTGCAAGTATTGAGCTGCTCGTCGTTCTTGGCGTCACCCAATGATTTGTTGCTGTAGCATTCATCCCTTGGCCATTTTGGCAAAATAATGCACAAATAAACGCCCAATTACCTCTGTAAAGACACGTGCCGCTTTTCTGTACATACCGATTCCTAAAAAGAGAGATCAGCCACGTTTTTTTTCTGTTTACTGGATACTGGAGCCCTTATTTATTTTATGAGCTGGTAGCTGACCAAGAATTGGAGGACGCTTGAGCTTCGCCTTCAAGAGTAGACAGCGATAGCTTCATCGGACCTACTGCGCATTTCATTTTGAACTGCTGGCCTGCTACGGTCCTCGGTGTGTGCTTCAACCGTGGCGAAAGAAAATGAACAGTGTGCTTAACATTGGCCCTTTCCAAGTATCAATGAATGTATATTTCAAGCACAGTTATTAAGTGACACTTACGTCCTAATTATTAAAGGCGAAGCTCCTTATGTTCGATGCTTGTCCGTTGGCGCTGTGCGCCGTAGCCACGACGATGATGGTGACGATGATGACGATGAGGAACAAGCGCGTTCCAAACCACACATTTTATTTCTGCCATCAAGGCACAATACATGCAAGGTACTCACTACGCCAACACAAGCACGATGACACCAATGAAAATAAAAAAACGTGTTCCAGACCACTGATTTCCTTTCTGCAACCCTGGCACAGCACTTAAAAGGTACCTACAGTGCGTCATGACAATGACGATGAAGCTGATGACGATAACGAACAAGCGCGTTCCAGACCATACATTTCATTTCGGCCATTAGGGCACAACACAAGCAAGATACCCACTAAGCCAAGACAATGACGAAGACGCCGATGACGGTGAAGAACAAACGTGTTCCAGACCGCTCATTCTTTTTCTGCCATCATGGCACAGCACATAAAAGGTACCCACTATGCTTCATGACAATGAACATGAAGGTGATGACAATAAAGAGCAAGCGCGTTCCAGACCACTCATTTTCTTTCTGCCATCAAGGCTCAAAACATGCAAGGTACCCACTACGCCAAGACAATGACGATGATGCCGATGAAGATGAAGAACAAACGCGTTCCATTTCACACATTCCCTTGCTGCCATCATGACCCAGCACGTAACCACTGGGCTATCTAGGTCCACTAGAAGAGAATAACATTAACATAGACACACGCGAGCAAAAGCGACCAGCTCGACGCGCCCCGCAGTAGACTCAGACGATGCGGCTCGCAAATGTAGCTGTAATCCAACGCAGTGTTTTGCGTTGTTAGGGGCCGCAATCAAGAAAAGCTGCTGTACAAATTTAACCTCGGTGTATTGGAAAATCTCCCACCATTTGTGTTTTCAAAAAATGAAAATGTGATGCTGCGCAAGCTAAGCGCTTGCAGTGCTCGCCAATTGCAGACGACAGTGCGCGGAATGATGCATTTAGATGTGCTCGCCCTCTTGATTGATCAAGAAGGACTGCAGCTTCCAGAGTGCTGATAGAGCTACTGAAACAGAATACCCTCTACATTTACAACAGTGGGTCCGAGTTCAAGAGCAACCAATTGAAGAAGAGGACAACAAAGTTCAGAACAGCCACGAGCTGATTGTGATCCAGGGCGACGCAAGGACGTTACTTACAACTTTTGCCAGAAGCTGAGGAGATAAAGCCAGCTCGCAAAGCAAATCAAGAACGGTGAGTTAACGGCAACACGATGGTAGCCGAAAGTACCGTTATCTGTGTCGACGACAGCGAGTATATGCGCAACGGTGACTTCCTTCCGAATCGCCTGCAAGCGCAGGAGGACGCTGTAGGCATCGTCTGCCAATCCAAGACTCAGTCGAATCCGGAGAATAACGTCGGCCTGCTCACGATGGCCGGACCGCAAGTTTTGAACACCCTCACCACAGACGTGGCACGCCTGTTGTCCAAGCTGCACCAAGTGCAACCCAAGGGCAACATCAACTTCATCACGGGCGTACGCATCGCCCATCTCGTGCTCAAGCACCGCCAGGGTAAGCAGAACAAGATGCGTATCGTGGTCTTCGTCGGCAGCCCCCTGGAGATCAGGACGACGGACCTTGTCTCTCTCGCCAAAAGCCTCAAGAAGGAGAAGGTGAGCGTGGACGTCGTCAACTTCGGCGAGGTAGACGCGAACACGGAGAAGCTGGAGAGCTTCATCAGCACGCTCAACGGCGAAGAGGGCACCGGCTCTCACCTGGTCACAATTCCGACGGGGCGCGATACCCACCTGTCCGACGCGCTCGTCAGTTCCCCGGTGGTCCAGGGCGAAGATGGCATGGTAATCGTGCCCTCCGGCTCTGGAGGCTTTGAGTTCGGCATCGACCCAAACGATGACCCCGAGCTCGTACTGGCATTGCGCGTATCTATGGAGGAGCAGCGCCAACGCCAGGAGGAGGCCAGGCGGGCAGGGGCCGACTCAGTACCCAAGGATGCGAGCATGACTCCACAGCTGCCCCCAGTTGACGAAGTGGCTGTGGTATCTAGCGAAGAAAGGCTTCTGGAGCGAGCGCTTGCCATGTCCATGGAGACCGATCCTGCTCCGGCCACGGCAAAATCTACCACTCCCAACTTTTTCCCAGACATTGCGGCGATGACGGAGGAAGAACAGTTCGCGTTCGCTGTACAAATGTCCATGCAGCAGCAGGCCAAGTCTCCTGACGACGTGGTCACAGAGCTCCCAGCCGCGGCTGCTCGCGAAGGGGGTAAGACGGATGAGTGCAAGAAGAAAGAGCAGGAGAAGAAGGAAGAGCAGGAAAAGAAGGAAGAGCAGGTGAAGGAAGAGCAAGAAAAGAAGGAAGAGCTGGGAAAGAAAGAGGAACCGGAAAATAAAGAGGATGAAAACAAACAGGCAGGGACTGAGGAAAAGGGAGAGTATGAGAATAAGGAAGAGACCGCCAAAAAGGGCAAGTCCGAGGAGTCCAACAAGTGAAGGCTTGTTGCTGCGAATGGATACTAGTCAGAAGACTATCAGAAGAGTGTCTATCGGACCACCTTGTGAGCATGAGATCCTTAAAAAAGACGGGGGAGGAGGGCAGAACGACTCTTTCTCAGAAACACTCACTCACCCTGTGCAGATGTTTGTGAATTCTGTCCAAACGACCGAAAGAGCGCGTTCTTGTGTGGTGGCGTGGAGTAATGGAAAGAAGATGCCTGCCTGTCTGTCATTTTTTTTTCTTTCGAGCTAAAGAGAGTCGCCCAATAAATTGTTCCCATCATGTGTCGTTCGTTTCGACACAGCATCGGAGATCACTTCAGGAAACGATACGATACTCAGTAGCAGATCTTCCCAAGCTGTTGTCATTCGGGCAGACGTTCAACCTTCCATGCCCCGGTATCGTGCATGCGCTGTAATACGTTACTAATCCATGAAAACGGATATGCAGAACTGAAAGACGTCGCGAACTGCAGCACACAGTTTGTCAGCACGTGCTGACGAAAGCCCTGATTTAGATGTCATGCTACTCGTAATTCATGCGGTAACATTGGGAATCCCTACTGAAGCTGCAAATCAGTTTTGCTTCAGCAGTGTGGCTCTGCTTCCTTTATCATAGCCTTGCACGCCGACTAAAGAAGGGTACCCCTTCTTTTTTGATTATCCACCGGAGACACTACCACCACTTCATGCATTTACACAGTCGGTCCTGTGCCGTCAATGTTGCTCTACGGATACGTAGTGGACCCCTCGCTTATTCACGAAAAGAAAAAAAACTATGACGCAGAGGGCGCTTGAGAACTGTGCTTGCAGTAAGCATTCATGGATAGTTTGAAGCGGCCAATGTTACGCGTTCGTTTCCTCACCGCTCTGTTGAGGTATGCACTGAGAACTGAACAAAGCTAGTAATCGAAAAAGGCGATGCTTACGAGGCCATATTACGCTACCGGGTTCTGTCGTTGACGGCGGAGATCAACTGTCCAAGTCTTTGTCGTCGTCCTCTGGGCCTTGAACATACGCAATAGTAGTGGGTTCATTTTTCCGATATTTTCTGCAGCGTATCTCCGTTACGTTGTCACTGGATCCATGAAAATGAGAAGGTGCTGTGCCGTGCAACTTTGCCTCTCCCAGGCGCATGCCTATGTCACCATAGCACCTTGTCAGACAGAGTTTCTTTGCCACTTTAAAAGCATCCCAACACAAACGACCACCGTACCACCAGCGTGGTGTATAGTGGTATACTCTTAATTCTGGAGATCGAAGAAGACACAGCGAGGGAAAGGCACCTTGAGGAGACAGAAGGTACCTTTTTGACGGGTAATAAATGTAACACCTCAGACGGTTTACTCCGAGAAAGTGGAAGCGTGATTCCACTTCCTGCTCAGGGACGATGCTTATTTTGTGGCAAACTTAAGTGCAGTGGTATCCAACCTTGTGGCAGCCGCAAAAGGCTTTCTTTCCTTTGACATGCAGTGGCCGCGGTCTGCGAGGCATCTGCATTGGTATGGTGCACTATTGTCATTGTACTTTGGTTAAAATTTCTTGTGTCGAATTCACGAAAAACAGGCGAAGTTGGATATAAACGTGTAACGCTTAAGGGTGTACTGTGTGTCCATGGTTTTGGCACCTACGATTGGAAAGTGTCGTGCACAAATAATAAATCTTACTATTATATCAAACCAATCATTCAATTACTTGTTCGCTAAGGTTGATTGATGATTGATTTGTAGAGTTTAACGTCCTAAAAGCACCATATAAATATGAGAGACACCGTAGTGGAAGGCTCTGGAAATTTCGACCACCTGGGGCTCGTTAACGTGCGCCCAAATCTGAGCACACAGGCTTACAGCATTTTCGTCTCCATCAAAAATGCAGCCGCCGCAGCCGGGATTCAATCCCGCAACCTGCGGTTCAGCAGCCGAGTACCTTAGCCACTAGACCACCGCGGCGGAGCTGTTCGCTAAAGTTGCTGCAAATGGTTAGACTTTCACGTGCAAAGGAGCGATGGACTGTTTTCATGGTAGTGAAACAACACCTTGAAGAAAAAAAAGCCTCAATCGTGAACTGACTTGGAACAAGTGGGTAGGCTAATTATTATGCACCCTCCTCTCCTACATTTGCAACGATGCGCACTACTAACGAGACACGATCACCGGGAGTGGTCCTGTAAGCTTGTTAAAGCCGGGGACGATGGAAACGGTCCCGCGTAAATCAATGTACCAAAAGTTCAACGTTCCCACGAGGGAACATAGTTATCGCCGAGTCCAATTTGGAGCCGCCACCCTAGCTTTTCTCTCCTATCCCGTGCAGAACAACCCGCCTTCATTCCATATATTAATTACACCCCCCCCCATCGGTCGTTATCACCGACTAACCCTTCCCCCCCGACCCCTCACCGTGCTGTGAAAAGGGGCGGTCCTCTTGTTATGGCTATGGGTACTGGGTAAGGGGTTCATGACATTCATTACACGGCAATTCGAAGAAAGTGAATGGTGCATTGACTCGAGCAGGCACTTTTCCTCACTACCGAGTGTAAGTATCTATACAAGTACAGCCCAGTTCATTGGCGCTGCGTGTAGCGCAAGCGGGGCCCGCACGACTGACGCTTTTCGCTTGACCTCCGAACCCCGGGAGTTCGTGAATGAGCGAAGGAAACCGCGAATGGAATGGAAAGAGAGAGAGTGTGGATCGAGCCAGACGGTATGACCCGGATTAGGCTTTTATTCCCGGCGCGCCGCCAGACGTGCGAGGCCGATATTAATCTAAAGTTGGGCCGCGAGCCCACCATCGCGCCGTACCAGGCACTCGCAGACTGCATACCGACTGAAGAGGCTAAGTTCTCTTCTTATTTTATGCAGACTGGAGTTTCCGGCCGCTACAAGTGTACGCTAGCCTATGAGAGCCATGAAAGGTGTGACGCTCATACGACGTGAATTGCACCCTTTCCTCAACGTGCTGAGCTTGTTTTCTCTCTCTCTCCCTCTCGTCACTAATTTGCCTGTGAAATGAGGCAGCCTGTTTCGTTTATTACTCCTAGGCGAACTTTTAACATTTGTCCGGCCTGGTTTCACGCTCTTTTATTCTTTTAAAGGTTGACATCAGTATCATTGAAACGAGAATGCCCCATGAGATGTTTTTTTCCGAGAAAAAACATCTCATGAGGCGTTTTTTTAGAGGTCTTTTTGCGGGGATGTCGCATGGTTATTTTTATTGGGATCATTAAAGCATCAGTTCACTACTTATCTTCAGACTTTTTAAGCCAGTTATGAAAGGTTATTGTTTTTGCGTGCGTGTTCCAGTCATTGTGTCATACTTGTGAGTTTGATCTCAAATCAACACTGCCTTTAAGTTCAATCGTAATAATCTGTAAGGAGTGATAGTAGATCGAAACCACCATATTGGAGTAACTCGAACAATAAGAACAGTGCGGCATGAATCATATTTGACCGTTATTTTCTCATCATGAGCGCCAGTTTAGCAGTGTCCCTCAAGAGCTACATATTAGCGGCACTTACTTAAATGGCCACTCACCAGGTTTGACAATCTTGAGCTGACAAACCCAATGCGTAGACGAGGCGTTCATTATGACGTCTGCCAAAATTCGCAACGCTACACGCTGCGAAAATGGGTCAAATTTTAAAATGAACGCTACTTCCCCTCCCCTCTGCCGGCGCACGCGTAGAGAATGAGGGCACGACGTAGGCGTATGAATGGCCCTACGTACACGGCAATGCAGTGACGTTGGTCCTCTACGTACACGACTCTGCTCTGACGTTGTCAACAGTATACCACGTGACATGACAAAAATCATTTAACACAACATGCGAAGTTTATGTATTTATTGCTTTAAGAGATTAATAAAACTTGAAATAAATAATGAGACGCAATAAAAAATTGTGCGCGTTTTTTTTTATTTTTTCCTGTGAAATGCTACGAGATGCGGAGCTAATGTGCTAGCGTTTTGCATGCGTTCGTGTCCCCGCGGTCAGCCCATTGAGCAAACGACCACCATGGAACACTCCTATGCGTTCGCGCACTCATCCTGCTCATCTACTCTACCACGTCTAAGCCGGCATTTCCAAACCATCCCGCAGAAACAGGCAGAAGACCACAAAATAAGGCTGGTCAACAAAGCAACGCCGCTAGCGTGCTCGGAGGCTGGACTTGTTTGGGCACGTCATGCGCACGTCACCTCATGGTCGGATGCTGGAGAAGGTGGGAAAGAGATTTGGCTTGCGTAGGCTACGCGGAGGAGCGGCAAGGGTTTCCAGTTCGGACTCCTCTCGTTATCATTTCGCGCCGCTTTAAAAAAACCTGCACACATGCTCTGGGAGTGTAGAACAACTCCTCCCGACTCTACTCAAGCAAGTGGGAGAGGTCTCTCAGGAGCTCACTTCTCACCGACCAGAAATGGGCCGTCCAGCAGGCTCACGAAGCGGCCGCCTGGTACTCCCTGTCGGTCCCTACGTGGGAGACGCCCGCTACGCGCTAAGCGCGTCCTGCAGGACTGAAATAAAGTTTTTTCATTCCATTCCGCTCGTGATGAACCGATTCGAAAAATTCTTGTGGTAAAATATTCCTCATCGGACACCCAGCAAGTTCCACTGTCTAACTAAAATTCAGTAGGGGGCCTGGTGAGTGGCCCTTTAAGGGGCTGTAAGTTCACGGATAGTGTTCACCTTAAATTGATGAGTACGGAGTACGCAGCGAGCCACAAAACGCAAAATGTCACGTGGAACCTCAACCCATATATGCCCCAACTCGGAAAAAAAGAAAAGTACAATTCACAGGTTGTTACCTCACGTACATTGACAAAACGTGAAGAAAAAAAGCCGCTCTTATACAATGCGTTCTAGGACCAAACTTTTCAAGAACCTCTGGGCAACCAGGCCTAGCCTGGACCTAGTGAATAACGAAGAACAGGGGAAAAACGATAATGGTGACCATATCGTATCCGCGATTTCTTGGTGTTACAATTTCGCGCAGTCTAGTAGAGG